ACCGATAGAAAACAGTCTTGAATACAGCATCAATCCAACTAGACCAGTAATGGCTTTCAACATCATCACAAATACACCATATGAAAGACTGAGATTGTCACAGTAGTTCTGAAAACAAGACTCAGCTCTGCTGTCTGTAAGAAACCCACTTTAAGTAAAACATACGTATAAATAAAAAGTAAACAGAAAGAAAGCATTCTGTATATTTTGAAACCAAAATGAGTTTAGAGAAACTGTGCTCAGACAGAAAAAACTGTAGCGCAAACAATGATTCTTTAAGGGGCTCCATTAAAGGCAATCAATTCTGAATATATACATAGCAGTCTTTAATGTGTTTGCTTATAGGAGAGCAAATTACTAAAAATAAAAACTGGTAGATAGGTGAGAAAAAGAGATGGCTCCTTGATCAGAAAGCGACAGATCCAGAAGACAGAGACAGATAGGACATAGTTGGTCTCAACCACGTTATTAACAACATGGATATAATCACCCGCTACAGGTCACTACACCCAACAACAGTGGAATGCACATTCTTCTTTAATTCACCTGGAACAGTCACCCATGGAGATAACACTTCCACTTTTGAAGCCGTAAAACATACCCCAACCCATGAAAAGGAACAGTGACTGAACAGTCCCTGCTCTTGGACCACAGTGGGATTAAGTGGGAGACTGAGCATTATAAATTATTGAATGATCCATAATACATGAATAACTGACAGACTTCTAAACAACATGTATCAAAGAAGAAATTTCAAGGAAAAGTAGAAACTATTTCAAACTAATGAAAGTAAAATAAACTTTATCAAAAATTGTAGATGAATCAAAAGTAAAAAATAGATGAAAGTTTATAGCATTGAAAACATTTAGTAGAAAAAAAGAAAACTATAAAATGAATATTTAAGGTCTGACATTAGGAAATGAGCAACAAAAATTAATTTCAATTCAAAGTAAGTAGAGGAAAATAAAAAATTAAAACAAAAGTCAATGAAATTGAAAACAGGATTTCAACAGAAAAAGTCAACAGAAGCAAAAGCGAGTTCTTTAGAGATATCAGTTTCTAAGCTTTTAACTGGATTAACATTCAGATTCCACCAAAATCCAGCAAGTAATTTTGTAGACATTAACAATTAGATTTTAAAGCGAGTATATATGATGAGGAAGAGGATCCAGGACGGTGAATGAGATACTTCAAGGTTTGATATGTAACCATAGTCATTGTGGTAGTTTGTAGCAGAGAAAGGATAGACAAATAGAACAAAGAAACAGAACAAAGAGTGCAAAATAGATCCACTTAAACAGTATCAACTGATAAACACTTTGTCTCATACCAAGACAAAGGAACAAAGGAAGAACAATTAAGATTAAGGAGTCTTTTCATCTACTTGCAAAAGGGTGACTCTACCTATGCTCGAACCTTATACATTTCACAATTAACTCAAAAGGGGCCACAGACTTAAATGAAATCTTCACAGCCTGGGATCTGATGTTTTCTTTAGGTGCAATTCCATGGGCATAACCCATGAAGAAATAACTTAATTAAGCTTCATTATGATTAAGAACTTCTGATTTGGGGCTGGAGAGATGGCTCAGCAGTTAAGGGCACTGACTGCTCTTGCAGAGGACCCAGGTTTTATTCCCAGCACCCACATGGTGGCTATGAACCATCCTTAACTCCAGTTCCAGGAGAATCCAAAGCCCTCTTCTGACCTCCTCAGCATTGCACGACATGGGTGCACTCACATACGTGCAGGCAATACACTCATGCATAAAATAAAAGTAATAAATAAAAAATATATTTAAAAAATAGAACTTCTGATTTGTGAATGACACTATCAGGAGAATTGATAAGCTGACTGATTGGCTCAGAGAGTAAAGATCCTTGCCTGCAAAAACCTAGAGATCTGAGTTTGATCCCCAGATCCCATGTAAAAGTGGAGGGAGAAAACTGACTCCATGAAATTGTCCTCCAATCTCCACATTTGCGATAATGTGCACATTGTGCACATGCATGTTTGGGCAAGTGGGTACACATATACACACCAATAATAATAAGAAGAAATAAAGTGTTCTAAAAGTTAAAGAGAATAGAGAAGCCATAGACAGGGAAAATGAATTTTTCAAAGAAGTATCTGCTGACATTAAAAAAACCCTTAAAACTCACATAAGAAGACAACTTGCTCAGGAAATGGGTTGTAATAAACTAACAACGTCTTTCAAGAAGGTATGCAGGTGACAAAGTCATGAAAAGATGCTCCAAATATTATGTTATCAGGGAAAGGTAAGTTGAAATGAGAATGAGAGATTGCTAAAGAGCCACCATAATAGTCAAAATCTGGAGCCCTAAAATAGCCAAACGTTTCTGAGGACTAAGGAGCAACAGGAACTCTCACTCATCGCCAGTAGAAATGTTTGGCACAGCTGCTTTGGAAGGCTGTTGGACAGCGTCTCACAAAGCTAATGTTTTTACTATGTAATTCAGTAATCATACTCTGGCATTTGGAAGTTAAGGTAGCAAAAATCTGTGTCTATACAAAAACCTGTACACAGAAGTTTCTAGCAATTTTAGTCATAATTTCCAAAATGTGAAAGCATGTGTCCTCTAGCTCTATGGTTTAAGCATGGTTTAGTGAACTATGGGGTTATTAACTACTAAAATGAATGGGGCAAAACTGAAAACCGGAAGAGCTGAAGCACACCATTAAGCGACAAAGCCACTCTTATAAGGCTGATTTCAATCATGTGGCAGCTATAAAAGGCGTAACCATGGAGATTGTCAAAGAATTACTGGTTGCCATGAGTTGGCTAAATGGATAACCTGGCAGAGCACAAATGATCTTTAGGTAAGAAAAACATTCAGTATAATTTCACAATGATCACTCCGAGTCATTATGCGTTTGTTAGGTTCAAGCCCCTGAGTGAATCCAAATGACAGATACGGACTTTCAGCAACTGCATCACGTCAATATAAACGCATCATTTTTTTAAAGCACTAATCTAGTGGGAGGATTCTTATAATGGGAAAGGTTATGTGCCTGTTGGGGGAAGGGCATAAGGAAAATACTCGTATCTTCCACTCATACACGTTTGTGGAGGGAACAAGACTAAACACAGGGATAATTTTGCCTTTGACTTATTACGGTCTGGGGATGATAATACGATACTTTTGTACTGTTAAATAATTTTATTATAGTTCAGAGGCGCAACAAATCGGAAGAGGGTGGATGAAAAGTGGAAAGGTCGAATACATTCTGGCAGGTTCTCTGTAGCCTAGTTAGCTCAATGCAGTGATTAAGGGAAAAGTATCACCATGCATCAAAGTATATTGCTATGTGCATGCATTCAACATCCAGTTCATTCTTAGAAGTTTCTGCCCACTGAGTCTGTGGATGCAAGTCTTGAGTGTGTGTGTGTGTGTGTAGACTTCAAACAGTGTGAGAACGTGATGATTGCTAGGTCCTGAGTGATTGTGTCTGAAGACAACTTTCAGATACACAAAGAAAACAACAGTTAGTAGTCCAGTTATAAATGCTTGCTTCCCATACAACCTCGACAGCACTGGTATTATGAACATCTGCAGTTACTTTAGTAATGTAGGTCAACATTGAGAAGTTAGAATTTGGAATAAGATTGCCTCCGTTTAGATGGTGTTTCACCACTTACAGGCTTTGAGAACTAAGGACAGCCATTTTCTCTGGGTATACCTTAAGCTTTTACCTTATCTATAAAATGGAGATAATAATATCTAGGGGGTGAAATTGATAAGAAGCCCATTAACAAAGACAAAATAGACCAGTGCCCAGCGTATAGTAAGTGCCTAATAAATGCTAATGATTATTGTTACTGTTTTTCCTGTCTTCTTGATTAGGCTGAAGGTGATGTGACTTTTGCACACTGCTAACTCCCAGTCTCTTCTCCAGATACTCTGTAGAAGATGCTGGTTTGCTATCAAGTGCAAATGCAATCCCTATCACCCTAGAAAATATGATGTAATTGAATCATGTTAACCAACACCGCTTCTTGTAACTCTCATTCTGCTTAAACATTACTCAAGTATTTCATCAGAACAGATTTTTCCAGAAGTCACTGAAAACAAACAGACTTCATGTTCTCTGGGCAAAGTTAAAAGCATTTTACAACATTTTCACCATTAAATGTTAGTTCTGTGGTCTGTATTCAGCTGTCTAACACTACAACTTCAGTTAAGTAACTTAAAATACTGGTGAAAGGTGACTACTTGATTTCTCTATTTCCTCAAGACTTGCTTTGCAGGGTTTAGAAGCTTTATCTTGAGTTCAAGTGTTTTTATTTTGCAAGGTAAGTGGATTTCAGGCAAATCTCTCCACTTCATCGGTTCTCAGCTTCCTCGTATCATGCTGCTCAGGGGATTCTGGCTCCTGTTTGTAAACTTGCCCGTGTCATTTGTTATACCAAACCTTTGTGACAGAGGTAAAAGGCAAAACTGTCCCATTCACTTATTTTCAGATGAGAGAAATTAAATGGCTTTACTAAGTTATTAGCTGGGCCTTTTAATTACTGCTAATTTCTCTCTCATCACACCATGCTACTTCTGTTATGAGAATTAAATGCAGAGAAAAGAGTAAGTAAAGATTTTTCAGTAAGTCAAGACGGCAAAGTGGCCTACCAGACATTAATCTTCCGAATTTGTAGTGAGTCTAAGAGTATTTTTACATATCACACAACCTCTTTTAACTATATCCATAATTATTTTTTAGTCCATCAAGAAGCAAAGAAAGGGTATCAAAGTATTTCTAATTTTCCAATATTAATGAACTTGCAAACTTCAGAAATACCATGCAAGGAAAATCTCACTCAGATTTAAAGATGTTTAAATCAAGATACATATCATGTTATTAATATTTTATATTTGAATAAAAATTCCAACTTGAAATACAGTATTTTTGAAATGGCCTGTTTCTGTTTCTATAAGTAATAACCCTGTCCACCTATTTTAGTTTGGAAACACAACACTCAGTATACCTTGAATCCATCGCAGAGTCTCCTTGGTTCTTTTTCTGGAGGTTCCGGCTCTGCTCCTTTATTTGAATGCTGAGTTTGGTCCATGATGAACTGCAGACGTGACAGGAGTGTTTTCAATTACCAGTGATGATGCTTCCTTTGAAATGATCACCTAACCAGTGAGGAAAAAGTGTCATTTATTTCACTTTCACAATGTACAATTTAGAAATGAGAAAACCCACAAGGCCAATACCAGCCAGTTCATCACTGATATTTATTAAGAGCTTACTATGCCACTGGGCATGGTGGAGCACGCCTTTAATCCCAGCACTCGGGAGGCAGAGGCAGAGGCAGGCGGAGCTCTGTGAGTTCAAGGCCAGCCTGGTCATCTGGGGGTACAGGGAGACCTTGTCTCAAAAAGACCGAAAAAAAAAAAAAAGCTTACTATGCCCCACCCACTGGGGTAGGTAAATGCTGAACCCAAAATTGGAAAAGAAAACTAATCACATATGTATCTCGGTTAGGGAGTGAATTTACAGAGAGAAACATGAAATAATAAACAATATATTTTCAGAATCTGAGCAAATCATTAAATGATAGAAATTAAGACTTTGTATATCATTCCACACAATAGGTATGAGATTTGTGAAAGAAAAAAATGTGCATTTCACTTGTTTTCATAATTTTATGCCTTGCACACAACATATACTTGATAGACACGGAAAAATAAATCTTGCTGAACATGCAGCCAGAGTGTTGAAAGACGGTTTCCAGAGAGGACACCAGTGGAAAGAAAGGTGAGTAGAGTTTGGATTTGCTGAAGAGCACAAAATATGTTCTAAGGATCTCAGACATGGGCCATATTTGACTAACCTCAATATTTAAAAAAATATTTTTTATTTTATGTGTATGAGTGTTTTGCTTGCATGTATTTAAGTGCACCATGTGCGTGCAGTGCCCGTGGAGGCCAGAAGAGGGTGTCTAGTCCCTGGAACTGAAGTTTCAGATGGTTGTTAGCAGCCATGTGGGTGCTGGGAACAGAGCCCAGATCTTCTGCAAGAGCAGCCAGTGTTCTTAACTGCTGGGCTATCTCTCCAGCTCCTACCCTTGATATTTTTTGTTTATTTTCCTAGAGAAAAGAGACTTGAAAACATAAAAGATTAAAAATAATAAAAAATTATCCTCTAAGTTTTATCACCTTATTCAGAAATATGATATGAATTTTAAATAGACTACATACTATTTTCCTTTGTAACACACATAGTTGCATTACCAAAGACAATATTGTCAGTGCTGTCTTCTGATTTTTTACACAGCTGCATATACTGAACTTTATTTTAATGAAATTCTCTTCATTTTTCTCATGGTTACATGGTGTTGATTGTCCATAATATAGTAACTTGTTGACAAGCAATTGGACTGCATCTAATGAGTTAATAGTTGAAACTTATTTTTGAATTGTCATATATGTAGGATAGATTCTTATACATATTTGATATCAAACTATTAGAGTAACTATAAGAATTATTAGGTCCTAAGGGCTGGAGAGATGGCTCCATGGTTAAGAGCACTGGCTGCTCTTGTAGAAAATGGGCTTGGTTTTCAGCATCCACATAGTGGCTAATAACCATTTGAAACTCCAGTTCCAGGAGATCCAAATCCCTCTTTTGGTCTCTGCAGGCATTGCATGTACTCATGCACTTACATACATGCAGGTATACACATACTCATACACATAAAAATAAATAAATTTTTAAAAATTTAAGAAATAATTATTGCATCTGTTTTTAAGAGTTGGAAAATAACTCAATTTCTTCCTTTAATTCCATTTTTATATTGATTTACATGCTTTTCAGTGAGATGTAGCAATATATACTTATTCACACATGTGCATAAATACATATTTATGTATCCAAAATATCTGCAGATGTGTCTGAGTATAATTTGTTGTAATGTATCAGTTATACAATATATTTAATATATGTTAAATGTACAGTTGATTGCCATTATTTAGGATAGTTACAGTCTATAAAGTTCATGAGAACACAGAATTAGTAAATGCCTAAACATTGATCCTAGAGGACATTTAAGGATAGACTCCTATATGCCTTCTGTCACATTTTTACTGATAGACTAGTAACCTTTTATTTCTCATAAAAGATACTTTATTCAATATACATTTGAGTCATTAACATTGAATCAGAGGAGCATAAAACTCCAGTTCTAGTCTGCCAGAAGGTTATTTAACAAAAGCATTTAGTTTTGGTTTTGGTCAGGCACTCTTGAATTAAAGAACTGTGGACTGGACTTCACCATGGTTTAAAGAGTGAACTCAGCAACAAAAAAGCACAAAACTGCAGAGTATTTTCAACACACACACAGACACACACACAGACATACATAGACACACACAGACACACACACAGACATACATAGACACACACAGACACACACAGACACACACACACACAAACACACACACACACACACACACACACACTACTGTGCCAAGGACACCTGTTTACCCTGAAAGAGAAGACAGAGCCTTACCTTGTATAACCATCACTTGGGAACCTGCTTGGTCATGTTTGTTATTAGCCACAAAACCCAGCGTGGTTGATTACTGTTATAAACAAATTTAGTGAGTAGGAAATTTGCTGAAACAGAATCTATAAGTAATGAGGGTCAGCTGTATATAGTACCCACTAATTTTTCTTTTTTCCTTGTGTGTGTAAGTGTGGACACATTCATGTCTATGAAGATGCAAAGGTGTATGCAGGTGCGTGTGTATGCGCTTGTGCATGTGGTGGTCAGAGGATGACCTCAGCTCTTGTTTCCCAGGGGCTGTCCACCTTTTTCCTTGTTCTTGTTTTGTCTTTGGTTTTTTGAGATGAGTTTTTGCCAGCCTGAAACTCATCAAGTAGGAGCCAGCTTTTTTTCTTTTTTAAATTTTATGTGTTTGAGTGTATTGCCTGCATGTATGTAAGTGCACCTATGTCATGCAATGCCTGCGGAGGTCAGAAGTGGGCATTGGATCCCCTGGAACTGGAGTTATCATTGGTTGATAGCTGCCATGTGGGTGCTGGGACTCGAACCTGTGTCCTCTGCAAGAGCAGCCAGTGCTCTTAACCGCTGAGCCATCTCTCCAGCCCCAGCTTTCTTTCTTTTTTTTAAAAGTTGGGGTCTACAGATTGAGTTCATGTCCTCTGTTCACAGGGCTAGCTTTTTGCTCTCTACACTATCTCCGCAACTCACATACATTTGAAATTTATTCACCATATTATAAATACAGAAGTCTGTTAATGTAGAATCCATGGTTATTGCTGATCTTGGTGGTGGTTGCCTGTAATCCCAGGAATTGGGAGTCAGAGGCAGAAGGATTGAGAGTTAAAGTTCAGCTTGGGCTGTATAGAAGGTTCTAGGCCAGTCTGACTATAAGATTCTGTATTTAAAATCTCTCTCTCTCTTTCTCTCTCTCTCTCTGCCTGTCTACAGATATGTATGTATGAATGTGTGTCATATATAGTGGATAATATGTAAATGAATAAAATACCAGATTATTATCACTTATGTAAATGTGAATATATATAAACATACACATTCATGCAGAAATGCATATGAAGGTATAAATACTCAGCACAAACTTGGAAAGACAGGACTCTTTTCCACTTTTGATGAGGATTAAATTGTTAACAGTGATTACAAGTAATTTAGCAGTTGCAGTGTCAGTCCAGGCTGGATATAAATGACCTACTTTCTTGTACCTTGGAATTTGAACCTTTATTTGGAGGTGTGCAACATATTTTTCCCTGACTGTGTTGTTTCTTAGCTATAAATGATTTGTATGAATAGTCAGGGTGAAGAATTTACAGACAGATGAGCACAGGCATTTCAGCCTGCCTTGATAAAGAAAAGCAATGTCTTCCAGCTATGCTGGGGTGATATAGGGCAGATCCTTCCTCTTCTGTTTCTGTGTGTCTGACTTTTACTATTCCTAGGTCAGAGGAACGCAAGGAAGACAAGGGACCATGTGTCTGTGGGACTGAGGAGGAGGGAAAACCCACCTTCACATTTCCTGGAAGTAAGGGGAATCACAGCCCACACTTATTTACAATAACAATTTTGTTGCATATATGTAGGAAACCAGGATGCCAGGCCCTAGGGTGAGGTGAGCCTAAAACTTATAGTCCAGGCTGCATTCTCTGCTAAAGGGAGGGGCACTGAAAACATTGGCTCTGATAATCCCTGTCTTGCAGAACACTGCCAGACTGACAGGAGGAAGCTGCCTGGTCATACGTGCAGACTCCCTACTCTGTGGGAAAGCGTCTTGGTCAACAACCCTTAGCTCATCTCCTTGTCCTAAATGAATAACTCAGCTATCCCTGGCTAAGAGATTAGGCCAGGTTAAAGGTTTACCCCTGAGCTAAAAGCTAAAAGTTCACCATGTTTTTAGCTCTAAGAAAAAGAAACACTGTGGCCAGTAAATTGCTGGATGGGCATGGAAGATACAGGTCCCAGAGTTTGACTCTGTCGCTGATCTGACCTTCTGCCCTGAAGTCAGCAGTTCCCCCGCTAAGCAAAGCAAACCTGAGTCCCTACACATACACATTTGCACGTTGAAGAAGAAAATGAATTCTAAAATAAATCATCCTGTTGGGAAGATACAGGTCCCAGAGTTTGACTCTGTCGCTGATCTGACCTTCTGCCCCGAAGCCAGCAGGTCCCCCGCTAAACAAAGCAAACCTGAGTCCCTACACATACACATTTGCACGTTGAAGAAGAAAGGGGCATTTATGGAGCTCTCTTCTTTTGCCAGGAGTTGTGCTAGTCAGTTGTAAAAACCATGTGATTGGAGGTAGAGGGATCAGGAAAACATCTCACTCTCCTCATTCAGAGGCACACATCGGACAGAATCTGGTGGGATGCTGAAGTGGTTCTGAGACGCTCTGTTTCCCTGTGTGTATCATCTGACTCTCCAGCTTCCATTGTCCAGGTCAGACGAAACCAAAGAAGTGGGAAGTGG